GAGACTATATTAACACCCTCTGGTGGCTGAGGAAGCTTTGATATGTAATAATTAAACAGTAGCGGGGACAGGACACCACCCTGCTGTAGCCCCTGTTTAATTTTACGTGGCTTGTTAGTTTTGTCTCTGAAAATTACTGGCGTGTGTTGTTGTTGTTGTTGTTGTAGCAGCATACAAATTCCCCAAAGACTTTTTGGGGAGTGTTGCTGGAGTGACAGTCCTTGGCCAGATATAAATCTGGGTCGTTCCGGTTACGTAGACCCGACTGTCGTGCGAACGTACTGACGTGTGTCGACCACTCAGGTAATTCGCCGACCATCGTTTGAGTCCCTGTGGGAGTGAGGAGGCCTATATATCTTCTAGTAGCGTTGAATGACTGACAGTGTCGAACGCCTTGGACAGGCCCAACGCTACTAGAATAGTTCTCTCACAGGGGCGGTTTCGGTTTAGGCCACGAGTTATCTGAGTGTTTATGGCGTTAAGTGCTGTTGTTGTACTATGCACTTTACGGAACCCATGTTGATGCTTCGCTGGGGTCAGGTGGTTCGTGAAGTACGGGAGCAGCAGGGCCTCGAGTGTCTTCGCTACCGGGGAAAGGAGAGTTATCGGGCAAATTGCCGTGCAACGTCGTCTCTTGGACCGCAGCTATTAATACTCCATGCCTTCCCAGAAAGACAGTTATCTCCTCTATCTTGCTCTGGAGTCCGTTACAGTTAAATTGTAGCACCTTTGTGTGCCTTGGGAGACCGATTGTGATGTGTGGTGTTAAAGAGTTGTGTTGCCTGCCGGCCCCCTGCTGTACGTGCTGCAAAAGGGGGTGCTGCCTTGTGGTGGTGGTTGGCGGCGTCGCGGGGGAGGGATGCAACGGGCCAGCACAGCAGGGGCCCACACAGTCACTCATCCAATNGCGGCGTCGCGGGGGAGGGATGCAACGGGCCAGCACAGCAGGGGCCCACATAGTCACTCATCCAATCTCGTGTGTTGCGAAGTCCTGAGCACGCCCTAAAGTGGCACCAGCTGAGGCAAGAGTTGCACTTGACTGATGTCACGTTACGGTATATTCTGGACTGGCAACAGGGCAGATTGTCGGAGGGACTAGGAGTTGCCGGCGGCGGTGTGTGGGTGCTATTGTGTGTCTATTGTTGTGTTGTGTGGGGGTGTGGGTGTGTTGATTGTGTGCTGCCCAGGCGGGTGGTGGTTTGCCGTGGAGGCGGTCCGGTTTGCACAGCATGGGGCCACGAACGACGTGGTCCATTGCCGGTGCGTACGCAGGCCCGAGCAGTTACGGAGGTGACTCCACCCGTCACAGGCATTTCACCTGACCGAGGTAGAGTTTGTATGCAGTCGTCTTTGGCATACGCAGCAGGTGTAGATTTCTGGCTTGGGTTTGACTCTATGCCAGCCCTGAGCAGAAGGGTGCGGAGAAGGTGTAGCCCTAGGATCGAGCAACGTTTGATGGATTTTGCCGACCTAAACAGGGCTAGATCGCCGAAACAACAGCCCTTGGTCGGGTAAAACCCGAGTCCATTCCGGTACGTAGAACCGGTNACGCAGCAGGTGTAGATTTCTGGCTTGGGTTTGACTCTATGCCAGCCCTGAGCAGAAGGGTGCGGAGAAGGTGTAGCCCTAGGATCGAGCAACGTTTGATGGATTTTGCCGACCTAAACGGGGCTAGATCGCCGAAACAACAGCCCTTGGTCGGGTAAAACCCCGAGTCCATTCCGGTACGTAGAACCGGTTGTCGTGGGAATGCTAGTTACCTTGTCCTTTCCCAAGGCTACATCACTGCGGCGGTAGCCCCAGTTGGTGCACACCAAAAGGAGAATTCTATTTGGTAAGGGTTATAGTCCTAAAGCGCGGCCGAAAGCCGCCTACGCAGAAAGGAATTCTACGCAAAAATACTGTGGAAGCAAGTAAAAATTGTGATTTTTGGCCATTTTTCTAAGGGGACCCATAGGGGGCCTAGGTGGTCGGGGGTTGCAGTTTAAATGGAATTTTTTCATATATTTTTTATAAAAATCAATTTTTATCAGAAATTAGAAATGCAAGGCACAAGGAAGAAGTGCATAGTGTAAACTGAGGGTAATAGCGCTAATGAAATGTGAAATAAAGTGGCAATACTAGCGATTTAAGTTTTGGCAAGCGCAGAGTTTGTTTACTCTGTTTTATTAGCGAAATATATAAAATACTAGAGTTAAATGATATAGTTTGAATAAGACAATAACCCGGATTGTTAATACGGGGGCCGAAACGTATCGATTGGTACCCCTCCCGACATTTCCGTACCTTTTTTAGCAGTTGTTACCTTATACTAGAGAATTACGAAACGTGTATGCAACCTCAGATACGCGGTTTTGCTTAACCTTGATACGCGGTTTTGTACTTGAAACGACGATATGTATGTATGTACGTACACATAGTAATTCACCAAAAGAGCAATTAACTCGGGTACGTCAAATATTTATTAATTCATATTAAAAATCACAAATGAATTAAACATCGCCTAACTACATAACTAGAAAAAATAGGAATGTTGCCAGCATCTCGCAATTCAAAACACAACAGACAAAAAGGCTTAGAGACTGGTAGTTTTAGGTATTTAAATACCTATAATATACAATGGTTAATATAATTGTTTAATTACCTTGCTACAATAGCGTGTGTATATTTCTGCGGCGGCATTTCTACTATTTGGTTTGTTTGCGTTCTCGTTAAAAAGTAACCACTTATTCCGATCTTATAAGTACTATTTTAACATATCTATAACCAAATTCAACTGGCTTGTCTCATCTCAATGACTTACTAAATAACTAAAGATTGAATTGAAAAAAGTTCTTCAAATATGCTGGTCCAAAAAATATGTAAACATGTTTGATAACTCCACCCAGTGTGTTAGAAATGTCGAAAATACATCGATGCATTAAAAATATCGATGTTTTGCTTTGATGCATCGAAAATATTCGACTCGGGGCGTGTGTGAATCGGTAANAACTATGAGGTGAATAAAATTTCAGTAGCTCATGAGGCTAGTGAAATTTTTGGCAAGTGCATAGAAAATTTTGACAATCGCAAAGATTGTTGCTGTGTGTAATTTTTCGTAAAACAAAAGCTTAAATTGATGAAATGCAATCAATGATGGTAGATATTTTCTTAAAATATTTTCACTTCAATTTTTAATAGTTTATTCCGAATAAATCTGCGGTTATCAAAAATTTACTGCTGTCATAAAAGATTTCATTTCACACAGCAGATTGGCAAAACTGTCTCACCATAGTAAAAATATTATTCAACAGCTTTCCCCATAGAACTTTGTTACCGATTCACACACACCCTCGATGTATAAATAGTCGATGCACGAGGCAAAGAAAATTAAACGGAGTTTCCACAACACTCTAATGACGTTGTTCGCTGTCTCAATTAAGATTGGCGAATCACCCTGTTTACATAGCACATTCGCAATTCACTTGGGATGTTGTTGTTGTTGTTGTAGCGGCACTACTAAGCCCCGCCTATTTCGGGTCAACATTCAATCATTTTCGTCAAGCCCAACTAACGGGAGGCCCAGGAAACGAGCTGTTTCAATGAGTTGGACCAGAGGGAGAGGGGTGTTAGTTGAGTCGGATTGAACTGGCATGTGAAGAAGTGGTTGGTATCGTGAGGGGATTCTCCAAATGCCGGGCACTCATTGGGGATATTGGGGTCGAGTCTGGACAGGTAAGTGCTGTTGTTGTACTGTGCACTTTACGGAAACCATGCTGATGC